AAATTTAACGACGGTACTAAAATGAAATAAAAACTAACAGTTAGGTATGATTTTGATAATTTTGAAAGTTTATATACTAAAATAAATCAAAATTGATAATTTAGATACTAAATGAGCAGTTTACCCAAAATATTAATAATAAAGAATCTTCCATGTGGCCCACCACAAGGAATTTCCATTCTCATTATCGTTTCTCTTTAACTTTTAGGGTAAACTACACGAACGGTCACTAATTTTTAGTAAATTTTTGTTTCCCCTGAAGTTTCAAAAAGTAACAAATTAGTCACTAACATTATCGATTTGTAATAAAATTATCACTAACATTATCGATTTGTAACAAAATGGTCACTCCACCATTATTAAAATATCAAAGTATAACACATTAAACATAACTATAATATATAAATAATTTTTAAGATTTATTTAAACAATATAAATTAAAATAATATAAACATTCTGATAACTCGGTCAATTAATTACTTTTTTTAGATTGTTAAATTAACCGAAAATAGTGACTAAAATTAAAACTTTTAAATGAAAAATAATTTACATTTTTCATAAAAAAAATAGTTATTCTTTTTTATTTTCAATCTCACCTTTTCATCTTTATTTATTCAACTATAAAAAATGTATAAAATTATATATATATATTCCATATAAATACACAAATTATTGTGTCTTTGCTAACATAAGGAAATAATAATGTCATTTTCGAGAATATAAATGGTCTCTTGATTATATGATACTTTATTATTGAGTCCATTGACTATTAAAAGTTATAACATGATCACTCCACTATTTATTATGTTCTAAACCGGTCATTTTTCATTAAAAATTAGCGGTCAATTGGGTTGGACGTTAACATGCTGATTGAGATATCGTTTGAGATTATGAGATTAAATTTTATCATATCTATGTCAGTAGGTTAACGTACAACTCATATAATCGTCAAATTTTTAACGAAAATAGATGAGTTTGGAACGTAATGAATAGTTATTTACCATTTTTAACTTTCAATAGTCAAGGGACTCAACAAAATAACTCTCTATAGTTGATGGATCAATTTGTAACTTTTAATAGTCGGAGACTTAATAAATCAATATCCTATAGTTAAGGAGACCGTTGATGTGCTTTACCCTTATTTTTAATTAAAAGTGATATGTAAAGTATTCCGTCCTTGACCTAGAATACCCCCAATGTTAATTTCGTTCGAAAGTGATATATATCCCACATCCACACGGACCACACCCAATGTTATTTTTTATTGAAAAAATTATTTTAGATTAGAAAAATTAGATTAAACAAAATGTAAATAATATTATTTTTACTCCATATAGGATAGACCGAAGGGGGCGTGAGGATATAATTGATATTTGAAAATTTAAAATTATCATATATTTTATATTTTTTTTATGTATTTTCTATTGAAAATATGTTTTCATCCCCTGAAATTTTAGTTCATCCCCCCAAATTTAAGTTCGCTCTCCTAATATAAAATCATGTGTTCGTCCCTGCTCCCATAAAAGGTAACTAGATCGTCTTCATTCAATCCCTTGGCTAAACAATCTACTACAATTTCTTTTGTTCTAAAACAATGTTTCAAACTCGTCATATTATGTTAAAAGATTGACGACCGTCTGTGCTATAAGTTTAACATGTTGATTAATATATTATATTAGTATGTGATTTTAAGATTATATTTTATTATATCTCAGTCAGTGAGTAAACTTCTAGCTCAAATTGTCTTCAGTTTTTAACAGAAAAAAAGAGTTTGGAATATATGAATTGTCGGATGACAATTTTGTAACTTTTAATTGACGGGGACTCAACAAAGCAATGTCATATAATAAAATGATCATTTTATAATTTTTAGTAGTCAAGATACTTAATAAAGTATCATTCTATAATCGAGGACCATTTGTATACTTTACCTTTTTTTTAATGGAGTTAACTTTTGAAGCACTTTGAATAATGTATGAATACTTTAGATATGAAATAAATATTTTAAATATTAAATTGATAATATATATATATATATATATATATATATAATTTAAGTATAATTTATCAATTACTTTAAAATAAATACTTCTTTTGGAAAGAGTCAAAGTAGAACTTAATCTGAAAATAACATGTATGATTATATACATGAAATTAGTGTTTTATCTTTTGAAACTCTTAAACATAGTTGTAATGGGATAAATTGACGGAAGTTTCAATCAATAATTATTTGGGTAAAGTACATAAATGGTCCCGGCTATAGGATAATATTTTATTGAGTCATTGACTATTAAAAGTTACAAAATAACCCTCCAACTATAGTTAGTTGCTTTGTAGAGTCCTTCGACTTTTAAAAGTTACAAAAATAGTCACTCGACTATTCATTATGTTCCAAACTCATCATTTTTAATAAAAATTTAATAATCATTTTAGTTGGACGTTAACGTGTTGATTGAGATATGATAGTTATTAGAGATTATGAGATCATCTTTTATCATATCTCAGTCTGCATGTTAACGTACAACTCAGATTGTCGTCAAAATTTTAACAAAAAAGGTAGGTGACCATTTTGTTACTTTTAATAGTCAAGGGACTCAACAAAACAACTTCTTATAATTGAACGATCGTTTTGTAAATTTTAATAGTCAAAGAACTCAATAAAGTATTATCCTATAATCAATGAACCATTTGTGTACTTTACCCAAACATTTAGCACGAATCAAAAATATTTAGATAAGGATACAAACAAAGAATAAAATCGGTCGGTTTTTGTTTTTCTTAAAAGGGTTAACTACACGATGATTACTTATATTTGTGTTTTGTCTACTTTTGGTCAATGATTTTAAAAAACATAAGATATGGTCACTTTTATTTTTATTTAATTAAGATGTGGTCTCTCCAAGTCAAATGTCGTTAACAACAGTCAAATATTTTGATATAATCACACATTTGATCTATGTTATTTACATATTCTCTCAATCTAGTCTTACTTTTAATAAATTAAAATAAATTCAATCATTCAATCGAATGATGCCACATGTCATGCCATGTGTCATGCCAAGACCATTGTTTGGTCTAAAGTAGACAACATGGTGTATATATTTTGTATCTTAGTGTACAAATACTTAAATTCATAATATTTTATATATATTAACTTAAAAATATTTTTTATATTAACTTATTAAATATATTTTATTATTAAATTAATTTAAAAATATTTTATTTTTATTTTCATTTAAAAATATATATTTTATGTTAAAATTTATTTAAAAGTATGATTAAATTGAGAGAATATGTAAATAATAAGGACCAAATGTGTGATTATACCAACTGTCACGTCAAATATTTTGTTAATTATTAACATCAGTTAACCCGTGATGACCACGACTTAATTAATTGAAAATAAAAGTGACCATATCTTATATTTTCTGAAATCAGTGACCAAAATTAGACTAAACATAAACATAAGTGATCATCCATGCAATTAACCCTTCTTAAAATTATAGCAAAGTTTGGCAATCGATGACAACAGGTACAGCTTAGAAAGCAGCGTGAATTGGCGGCAAGCTGTGCCTTTCCAAAGTTGAAAATCGCAGCCAACAGGGAACAAAATCAACTCGCCAAACTCTTTCTTTTTTTCTTGGGTAAACTACACATTTAGTACCTCAATCATCACTTTTGTTTCATTTTAGTTACTTAGCTATTTTTTAAAATCATACTTAACGTTATGTTTTGGATTCATTTGATAATCAATCGTTAAAAAATTAACAAAATTATCGAGGTGACATTTTTTGATGATGATGTGACACCACCTTTATGGTGACATGTCAACATCATCATTATTTTTTTACTAGCAAGTGACGGAAATAAAATTATAACTAAACATTAAGCTTAATTTTGAAAAAGAAAATAGATGAGTGATAAAAATGGAACAAAAGTAATAGGTAAGATACTAAAGAGTATAGTTTATCATTATTTTCTTTCTCCTAACATTACATAACATATTAAATTTAAGGTTAAACTACGCATTTAGTACCTAAACCATCAATTTTGGTATGTTTTAACAACTAAACTTTTAATCTTTTCAAAAGCATACATAACATTTAATTTTTATTTCATTTTAGTAGCCTACAAAAACTTAACACTTTTAGTACCTATAACTATCAGTTTTAGTCTATTTTAATAACTAAACTCTTTTTTTTTCAAAATCATTCGTAACATTTAGTTTTTATTTCATTTTAGTACCCTACCGTTAAAAACTTAAAATGTTTAGTACCTAAAACTATCAGTTTTGGTCAATATTAGTACCTAAACTTCCAATTTCTTTCAAAACTTAACGTTAAGTTTTGAACGAGACACTAAAATAAAACAAAAACTAAACGTTAAGTATGCTTTTGAAAAACTTGAAAGTTAGGTATAAAAGCCGACCAAAATTGATGGTTTAAGTACTAAATTTATAATTTAGCGATTTAAAACAACAGATGATTATAACCAAAAAAGAAAAAAAAAAGTTAAACAAACTATAATATGCAAATTATACTATAAGAAAATGCAAATTATGGACATCCCTAAGCTTCCATGTTCAAGAATAATGGTGGTTGTAGTTGTACACGCTATTCTTATTTGACCGCCCAAAAAACCCATTAACATAAAGCCTCCTCTTCCGCCTTCTTCTTCTCCAAATTCAAAGCCATTGAAATTGATTTAACCTATTTTGACTGCCTCTTGTTTTAGCCATCCATTAACCACCATTATTATTATTTATTGAAGCGAAAGGGAAACAAACCCAGAAGCTTACTTGCCATCTAAAACCTCTCCTCCTTCCTCATATAAATCTCTTTCTTCTCTCCTCTCTATCATACTCGATAATATAACTTTCTTTTCTTTTCTTTTCTCGGGAAAAAGTTAAACAAACAAACCAAAAACCAAGTGAGACACCTTCCTCAAAGCACACACTTTCTTCTCAAAAACCATCTCCTTTCCCTTTTCGTGAAATTGGGGTTCTAGTATTTTTTACGACCCAACACATACTTTGCATAGAAAGCAAGCTCCTTTCGTCTTCCTTCTTCTCTCTCCCAAAGCAAAGTTTGGGTTTTGAGCATAGGAGATGGTGCACCATCATCGTTACGCTTATCAGTTGAAAAAGGATGGAGATGAAGAGGAAGGGACACTTGTTCTCGTTTGGACAAACCCTGGTTACTACAAGAGGAGGAGGACCAAGCTCTTCTCTTTCCTTTTGCTCTCTCTTCTCTCTTGTACCTTCATTTTGGCTCCTCACCTCTTTTCATTTTCTACTCCCTTTTCTCATCTATGTGAGTTGTCATCTTCCCCTGCCTTTCTCTTATTTTTTCCCCTGTTTTTTCCTCTGCGTTCTGACATGTCTTGTATGGTTTTTGCAGATTCTTTTGGTGTACAGAATGAAGGCCTTGCTGGGAATTTGGATGTAAATGCTCCTATTTGTTCTTCAATCTCTAATGGTTAGTTATATTTTCTTTTAATAAACCGCTGTTAAAAATTTTAGTTTTATTCGAAAGTTTAGGTACTAAAATGAATCAAAATTGATAGTTTAAGTATTAATTTTTAACTGTGGATACTAAAATGAAATGAGAACTAAACGTTAGGTATGATTTTAAAAAATTGAAAGTTTTGGTATTAAAACGATCAAAACTGATAGTTTAAGTACTAAATGCGTAGTTTACCCTATTTTTAACACTGAATGATATATCAAAAACACAATATTAGGTATGATTTTTAAAAAATAACAGTTAGGTGATCAAAGCAGAATAAAAAGAATAGTTGAGATACTAAATATGTAATTTACTCTTTTTTTCAATGTCTCCAAAGTGCTTATTTGAATCTTATGGTTGGGGTTAAAAAACAGGTACAATTTGCTGTGACCGAAGCCATTTTCGATCCGATGTTTGTTTCATGAAGGGTGACATAAGAACACATTCTCCCACCTCCTCCGTTTACCTTTACTCATCGAGAGCCGATGCCGACGAAGGGGAAGACGATGAACTCCAACACGAGAAGATCAAACCCTATACCCGAAAATGGGAAACGAGTGTGATGGACACCATCGACGAATTGGACCTTATCTCAAAGAGACGAAATTCGGGTGTTCGCCATCGCTGCGATGTGATTCACGATGTCCCGGCGGTTATCTTCTCGACCGGAGGCTATACCGGCAACGTTTATCACGAGTTCAACGATGGGATCATCCCTTTGTACATAACTTCACAGCAATTCAACAGGAAGGTCGTGTTTGTGATCCTTGAATATCATAATTGGTGGGTCATGAAGTACGGCGACATACTTTCACATCTCTCCAATTATGCACCAATCGATTTCAACCGAGACAATCGAACCCATTGCTTCACCGAGGCGATAACCGGTCTGAGGATCCATGACGAACTCACCGTGGACCCTTCTCTGATGAAGAAAAACAAGAGCATAGTCGATTTCCGACACCTTCTCGATCGAGCATACCGGCCTAGAATCGAAGGTTTGACACATGGTGGTGTTGAGGATGCACAAGAGAAGATGCAACCAAAGTTGGTCATACTGTCACGAAACGGTTCAAGAGCCATAACCAACGAGAAAGCTCTGGTGAAAACAGCGGAAGAAATCGGGTTTCTGGTTCGGGTCCTGAGACCCCAACCGACGACGGAATTAGCCAAGATCTACAAGGAACTCAACTTGAGCGATGCCATGATCGGTGTCCACGGTGCAGCCATGACTCATCTGTTGTTCATGAGACCTGACTGCTCGGTTTTCATTCAAGTGATCCCACTCGGAACGGATTGGGCGGCCGAGACGTACTACGGGGAGCCAGCAAAGAAGCTGGGTCTGAAGTACATAGGGTACAAGATCATCCCGAAAGAGAGCTCATTGTCCGACGAATACGACGAAGACGACCCCGTTCTGAAAGACCCTTCGAGTTTGAATCGAAAGGGATGGGAATACACCAAGAAGATCTACCTCGAGCGTCAAACCGTGAAGTTGGACATGCAGAGATTCCGGAAGCGGCTTGTTCGTGCTTATGATCATATAATCAGCCGGAAAACTCAGCTCCGGTCGCACTCAATTCGGCAATTGAGATTTGATTATATTACTTAATTCTTTAAACTTGATTTCATGTATAAAATAAGCTTTTGTACAGCTTGTCACATTTGTTGAATAAATTTTGCGATTCATATTTCTATACTTTCTTAAATCTTGACTAATAACATAATATCATGCGGTTTTAGTGATTAAAAAAAATATTAATGTTTTAGAGATTTTGAGTTTAAGAGGTTGTTTCTGTGAGTGTGTATACGTTAGGGATAGAAATTGGATGGGTCGGGTTGGATTTTCAGTCCACTTGACATGACCTAAAAATTATAAATCCTTCACCCAACTCGAAAAATACACTTTCCAACCGACTTGATTTTCTGAGATAAAATCCGAACCCGAACCAAAATAATATATTTATTAAAGAAATATTATTGTTATTCAATAAAAATAGGGATTTAATTGAAAGAAAATAATATATAGAGTAGTATTATTGCAATTATCTTTAATTATATAAGATAAAATTACAATTTTTTTGGTCGGTTCGAGCTTTTTTACCCTAAACTCGAATCCGACCATACCCGAACATAACCTTAAAATACCTAACCAGACCTGAACCATAATTTTTCTTAAAATGAAAAAATCCGACCCGATTGGGTCGGGTCAAAACCTGTCGGGTTCGAGTCTCATACCTATTCCTAGTATACGTTATTAATAACAAAAAAGTTTAAACATATATTATTTTATAGTAACTTATTATTAAAAAATTATTTATTTAGTAGTTAACTTTTCTTTATACTTTAATTTTCACTTTAGTCCTTCAGCTATCGCTTTAAAAAAAAAGTTCCAGACACAAGCCAATATGATTAAGCTTAAACTACGCCAATAGCGCTGAATTAGTCAACACACAAGCCCGGTAAATGGGGGTTATGCCCAACCTATATTGTAAAAAACAAATAGATAAATTAGGGGTTTAGTACTTAAATTATCACTTTTCATCTGTTTTAGTACCTAAACTTTTAACTTTTATACAATCATACCTAAAGTTTAATTTTTGTTTCATTTTAGTACTCACCGTTAAAAAATTTAATTTTTGTTTTATTTTAGTACCTTGTTCAAAATTAGGTATGACCTCTCTCCCACTTAAAATGTCCTTTATTGACTTTTAAAAGTCAAAATTTTTAAACTTTGACCATGATTATATTAAATATTTTTTAAAAAATAAATTATATTAAATATATATTTCGAAACTACTTGATTAAAATTTTCTAAAATATATTTTTCATATTTTTTGTCAATAATAAATTTTAAATAATAATGAGTTGAAGTTGAAAAACAAAATTGACCCAAAAAAAGTCAATAAGGGACATTTAAAATGGGACAGAGGGGGTATAATTTTAGGTACTAAATGCATTAATTTTTCAAAGATGAGACACTAAAATGGAATAAAAATTAAATGTTAGATATAATTTTTAAGAAATTAAAATTTTATATACTAAAATAAATCAAAAAATAATAATTCAAATACAAATACTAAATGCGTAGTTTATCCGTTAAAAATAGTGCATAACTTAATCTTAAAAAGGGAAACGTTTCTTAAAAAATAAAAAATAAAATAAAAAAGGAAACGTCTTTCAAAATTAAATTATTATTATTTTGAAAATTTGTTACTGTAATAATTTAAAGATAATAAATTTATCAAATGATTGGCGGTAAAAGAAATATTATTTTTTAAAGAGATATTAAGTTCGAGCAGATATGTCAGTAAAATATGTTTACATTATCAATTGATTAAGAAAATTTAAAAAAAATATTATCTTATAATTATTTTATACTATTCAATTTTTCTAAAGATAACAGATTTAAGTGATGTTTTTTAAAATAGTTAAGTATTAGGAAATAATGAGTAATTTTAGAATTGCATCATAATTAGAGATGGAAACAGGTCAGGTTTTTAGTCAATCCGACCCGAAAATATGTATCTTTCACTCTAACCCGTCTCGACCTAAAAATTTTATATCCCCCACCCAACTTTACCGGACTCAAAAAATATATATTTTCACCTAACTCAACCCGACCCAAATTTTAGAGTATAAATCCAACCCGACTCGACCATATATAAAATAAGGATTTAATTAAAAAATAATATTTTTAAGAAACTTACATTATTATCCTTGGATCGGGTCGGATCGAAGTTTTTTCACCCTCCACACGACCCGACCTCTCCCCTTAAAAAATTGACCCGAACCCGATTTGTTTATAAAAATATACGACCTTATCGGGACAGGTCAGATCGGAACCCTTCATATTCGAATTAGATTGCCATCCCAATCATAATATTATCTTAGATATTATGTGTTAGGAAATGCATAAAAGTTTTAAATCATGATATTATCTTTGTGTTATTCATGCGTCATATGATTATGTCGTATTTAAATTAATTTTTTTTATACATGCGTAATTAAGTGTTCTTAATATGTATGCTTTAATTTCAAAAGGCCTAATAGGATGTGTGACAGTGTAAACAAAATCTAAACTAAAACTGTTTATACGTTGGGATTTCAAATGTTTTAATTAATACATTTGTTTGATTTGTACTAATAAACATTGATAAAATGTATTACCAATATGGTCACGATCGTGCTTAAAGAATTTGTCGTTAAAGATAGATGTTTAATATTTTTTTTACACTTTTAGATGACTACAGTTTAAAAAATCGTTAAGTAACACGTATTACATTTATATTTTTATATTTTTTTTAAAAATATTTTTTAAAAATATTTTTAAAAAAAAATTAAATATAACACATGTTATTTAACGAGTTTTTTTTTTACATAATATAGAAAATATTACACACCTATTTTAAATAAAATTTCTTTAAGCACAAAAAATAAATTTTGGGTATGGTTTTGATTTTAGTTTAGACACTTATTTTTATATTAAGCCGAGATGTAATAAGAATCTGCCATGTTTTGATATTTCAAAGGCTTAATTATAAAATAAGTGTCCAAACTATATTGTTTTTCTCAAATAGGTGCCCAAACTTTTTTTTGAATCATCCAGGTGCCTAATGTTACAAATATTACCACTTTAGGTGTTTGAGCCGTAACTGGCATTAAATTTCTACTTTAAGTGACATGTGTCACGTTCAGGTAATTTTGAAAATAACTAGACATCATGATGTAGTTCGAGGTCACCTCAGCATCACGGGACTCACACCCCTCTAATCTACGACGTAGGTACTTTGGATAAGACCTGAGTCACGAAGCATCGACATCTTACGTTCAAATGATAGTCGTTACTAAGTACCTAGGATGAAATATGGGTCACGAATCATGAACATCTAACAACCGACTAGTATATACTTCTAGAGTACTCGGGACGTGTCTAGGTCACAAAGCTTCAAAGTGACATTCAACTAGCATTTAAAGTGATCTCGCACTGATTTGGATAATTCTCAATCAATTAGACGGTCGTCACACACACACAAGTAACTCGAGTGTCTTCATTGTTTCTCAAGCGTCAAATAAAGGCACAAGTCTAATATAATCATACTTCATAAGGTTCTTATGATTTACACACATATAACATTATTATCATATTGTTATCTCGTCTTTATTAATAAGCTTTTCTATAGAAATAAGCATCACATCTCACATTAACCAATGCCACACAAGGACAAATGAGGTAATTAGACTACACACTACCATAGTTCTACAAACAGGTGAGGTTATCCCATTACTCGTTACTATCTCGCTCGTTCTCTAATCTAAAATGTTATGTAAGGGTTTATCGATCTTTTAATGTTTTATTCCAATAAGGAAATTAATATTCATCGATATTCATTTGATATATTATTATTAGTCTGACACTTGATTTGGGGTTGTCTAATCAATAACGACTCTCTAGTCGCTCTCATCAAACTTCCCAACAGTTCATCCTTAAATTAGATGTTCAACTTGTGTATCTTTGATTTATAGATGTTCACGTGGTACTTGATTTCTTCTATCACACTATTCGCAAGGTTCATCCCCTTACTTGCGATCGTTTGATATGTGCTCAATTGAGAGGTATTTGGGAGTATCCTACCATTTAAGGTTATTTCGATCATAACCAACTTCGAAGAATGTTTTTAATCATTTGTAACCATTTAAGCCTCCCTCAGGCTAAAACCCACCATTACGGGTCATCCCTCGTTCTTCAGGTCTTAACGAAATCGAAATTAACAATCCAAAATAGGCCGTATCGATACCCGACATGTAGTATCGGTACTCCCTAGTCAACTACCGATACTCTCTTGAGTATTATTGCCAAAAATAGCTTCAAAGTTGCAAAAAATCCCTTCAGTATCAATACTTACACCCTCATTATCGATACCAAAGGAATAGTATCGATACTCCCCCTAACAATATCGATGTTACCCTTATAAAATGCCAAACAAATCTTCTCAATTCATCTAATGTCGATATTGTTCATCTAACATCGATACTTAAACCTAGAAATGTCTCATTTAAGCTCAGAAAACACTTAAGAATCCTTCCAAACACCATCTATGGGATAAATCAAGTAAAAACCCTAATATCACTAAACACTAAAATCTCAGCAAATCATCATGATTATGAAAGTTATAAGACCACAAAGGATCATAAATACACTACCCTGACACTTGAATCTCAAAATGAAACTCATTTCTTAGCTATACTTTCTCCTTCTCTTTTTGGATTAAAAAACTCTCCGCCCTTTTTCTCTGGCCATCAAGAGAAATTATGAGTTTCTAATTAAAAAGGATGTTTTTGGAAGACTAAGGGACGAATTTAAAGTCTAAAGGAAACCTGAAAGATGCTCAATAACTTACCTTTGAGCTATGGTACTTAGAGAGAAAGGATGGAGAAGAAATGAGAGAGAAGAAAATAAAGAGAAAAAATATAAAAGCCGAAACACTCCAAAAAAATCTCAAAATATCAGTCATATTTTCATAAATGGGATAATTACACTTTTTGTCCCTCATGCTTTGATCCCAAAAATACCCTCTTTTATAACCCTTTGGGTGCAATCCTAGCCCAAAGCAAGCCCAAACTTGGTTCAATTCTTCTTAATGGACTAATAGGTTCATCTAAGGCTTACTCATGTCAACTCAAACTACTAATTCAGACTTCAGGGTGTTGCACTTATTCAAATTGAAAGTTATCCCTTGAGATCTCGGGTTCGAACATCATGAATATTAGGGGTATAAGTATGTAATGTGGTAATGACTATTTCCATCCACCAAGAAGTATGCAATGTGGTAATGACTATTTCATCCACCAAAAAGTGAGTCCCCCCCCCCCCACTTGTTCCTTTGATTTAGAGCAGCATAGAGAAGTCGGTTGCAAATTACTCCAAGTGTATAGAGCACTAAAACAATCTAAAAATTTAGCTATTTAGCACCAAACAAAATATCTAAATTTCCAATTGGGTCCAAAGAAATCAGTGTGAGGCCACTTGACTCCCTGAATCATTGCTAATAGCTTCGATCTTTCTCAATTTCCTCTTGTGCCCAACCTCTGATGACAACCTGACCAATATCCAACATTAACTCCCAAAATATAAAATTATCTGAATTTCATATAAATCATATTTTTTATCTTATGTTTTATAAATTTATTAGGGTAAACTACATCTGATATCACTGAACTTCAGGCGTTGTATCATTTATACCACTGAACTTTTAATTTTACCAATTATAGCACTGAACTTTTATTTTCGTTTCAATTATACCACTGAACCGTTAAATCGTTAATTAGACGATTATTGTATGAATGAAGAAATATGTCTAGCATGCATACCCCAAGTTCAAGTGCAAGGAAGTGTCGGAATGATCTTCATCGTCGTCATCGTCTGATGCGTCGTCAAAACCGAAAGCAGCCTTTAAAGTGTTGGGAGAGAATGTTATTTGCAGAGGATTGCGTTGTAGTAAATTTGAGCTTGTTTTTTGTTGCAACTCCTCAACCTTAGTATATATATGTGTGTCACATAGATAATAGAATTTATATTACAAACACTTAAATTTATTTTGGTTATATTTCATGTGTACCTGTTTACGTAGGCTCTCCTTCTCAAGAAGAGCTTTCTGCTCCTGAAAAAAATAAATATATTAAAAGCAATGGATCCTCATATTCATATATATATATATATATATACACACACACACACAGTTGTAGACTCCATTAAAGAAATTACCTGTAGTTTAGACCTTTTAAGCTGCTCCAGCAGAAGTTGCTCCTGAAACACCACAGCTCCACTTAAACAACTTTTTATTTCATTTTTATTAGTTTCAACTTATTGACCGATTAATTGAGATCGGATAATACAAAGACTTATTATTATGAGACAGTTTTCCGAATATATTTTTCCGAATAAAGAGAGGTGGATAAGTAGGGGTGTAAATGAACAGAGCGTTCAACGATCTGTCGTGAACCGTTCGTATAACGTCGTTTATTAAGTTAGATAAATTAATATGAACAAAATTTTTATGTTCATTTAATAAACGAACAAACACGAATTAAGGCGTGTTTAGTTTGTTTATGTTCACGAACAAGCTCGTTTATTAGCTTGTTTACTCGTTCTCCTTTTCCTGTTATTGGCGAAGATAGAGACTAAATTGAACGTAAGCTAAAATTTAGAGTTCAAATTATGAAAATCAATGATCTTAATGAATTGTGGCGCAATTTCGCCATTTTTCTTTGGTTTGCAGATAAAATGGTAGAATGAGAGTGTTGGTTGTCAAACATTAAACCAACATGTTTACGAAAGCTAAACAGCATGTTCCTGAACACTAAATTAACGAACACGATACTAAAAATTTAAGCGAACACAAACCAAATATGAAACCTTTCAAAAATAAATAAACGAACACGAACATAACTTTATTTATTTAAGCTTGGTTCAATTACATCCCTATGGATGAGACAAGGGTTAAAAATGGAAATCGAAGAGTACCTTATGCTCTTTAACTGAGAATAACCCTTCATTTAATTGATGCTCCAGTTGTTGCAGCTCCTTGAAACTCATACCCTCCAGCTCCTTTCCATTCAACCACCTGCAACTCTTTCGTTTACCCAATTCTCTTTTCTTATTTTACAAATGGAAAATGCATAATATCAAAAATAGCTCCCGATATTTATCAAAATAATCATTTTATCTTATATTTTATTTTATGAGTATTTTGACCCTCAACGCTATATTTTAGGGCAAAAGGACCCCTAACATTTGACAGAATAATCACTTTGTTCTTTGTTCTTTTTTCCTAGGGCATTTTAGCCCTCAACGATTCATTTTAGGTTAAAAAAGCCCATATTTTAAAGCGTTAATAGTATGTTAACTAATGGTTTTCATCCATGGAGATTGTTTTACCCCAAAGTGAAATGTTGGGTACCAAAATGACCATTTTGATAAACACTTGTCCTATTTTTGGTATTATGCCAATGGAAAATGCAATAAGAAGAAGAAGATTACATGTATGCAGCACGCAGCCTTAAATACTCCTCTTTCAGAGTGTTCACATCAATTGGTTTAGGGTTCGGCTTTTTGTAAACCATGCACAACAAAACACCAGCATCAGAATCAATGCAAATTAACCAAAGGATAAATTACACATTTAGTACCTAAATAATAAGTTTTTAATCTATTTTAGCACCTAACTTCCAATTTTTTAAAACCATACTTGAAATTTAGTCGTTTTAGTACCCGCGGTTAAAAATTTTAATTTTTGATTCATTTTAGTATCGCACTCAAAGTTTAACGTTAAGTTTGAAAAAAATTGAAAGTTTATGTATTAAAACATATCAAAACTGATAATTTATGTACTAAACGCGTTAAGTTTTTAACGGCGGGTACTAAAATGAAATGAAAACTAAACGTTAGGTATGATTTTGAAAAATTAAAAATTTATATACTAAAATAGACAAAAACTAATAGTTTAGGTACTAAATACATAGTTTACCCCTAACCAAATTTTGGTTTAACATTACCTCTGGTTTTTCTTCACCGGAAGACTCATCAATTGCTTTCCCTCTATTGAATCTTGAAAGAGTTTCTTCCATGCTACATTCAATTTTCATCATCAACTCATTTTTTTCTATATAGATTATAGAGTAAACTACACATTTAGTACTTCAACTATCATTATTGTTCTATTTTGACCATTCAACTATTTTTGTTTCAAAATCATACTTAACATTGCGTTTTGATTTCAGTTTGGCTATCCACACGGTGATGCTGACATGTCAACATAAGTAATGTCACCCCATGAGTGATCAAAACGAAACAAAAGTAATAATTGAAATACTAAACGTTTAGTTTACCATAATACTTGGTTTTCAATAATTTTCTCCCATTTTTTTCTCGGAAAAGAAAAAGAAAAAAAACCCAGCAACGAAAATAAATACCTAAAATATACTATCTTTTTCATTTAAGTAATTAAAGTATTTTATTATCAAAACAAATACCTAAAAGTTATCTTTTTGGTCAAAATAGATACCTGGTGCTAGACCATTGATAAACCTTGCCGGTGCCGGAGAAAATAATGACACCAACTTCAGCATCGCACAAGATGGACAACTCTTTTGCTTTCTTCAACAGCCCATTTCTTCTCTTTGAGAATGTTACTTGCCTGCTATTCAAATTCTCTATCTTCTTCATCTCAATCTTCCTTCTTCCCATTTTCTTTTTCTTGGGAAAAAACCCAAAATTTTCTTTTCCTTTTCTCTTTCAAAGCAAAGAGCAGTCGTGATTAACAATACAAAAAAGGAAGGAAAATATCATGGAGAATTTTAAGATGAGAAAACTAGTGGTGTTCGTATATAACTACGCTTCTCATGTAGGATGGGATTCTATGGAACAAGTAATGGAAGGAAAGTGTGACTGAAATTAGGATATACTGTGGAAAAAAGGTGATAGATGGGATACTATATCTAGCAATTCTCCATATATGGAAGTCTTTTTCATTAGGGTAAACTACGCATTTGGTACATAAACTATTAGTTTTGATCTTTTTTAGTACTTAAACTTTCAAGTTTTTTTTCAAAATCATACCTAAAGTTTAGGTTTTCTTTCATATTAGTATCTCGTCGTTAAAAACTTAACGTATTTAGTACCTAAACTATCAGTTTTGGTCCGTTTTAGTACCTAGACTTTCAATTTTTTTCAAAACTTAACGTTAAATTTAGAACGAGGGTGCTAAAATGAAATAAAAACTAAAGTTTTTAATGGCGGGTACTAAAATGAAATAAAAAATAACTTCAAGTATAGTTTTGAAAAGAATTGAAAGTTTAGGTCTAAAACGGACTAAAACTAATTTAGATACTAAACGTATAATTTACTCTTTTTGTTACAGTAGTAGCTAGTTTTCCCTTCCTACTCACTTTTTACCTTTCTCCTTTCTTTTCCCAATTTAATTATTACTCGTAACATATTTTAAGATAATTATAAGATAATATTTGTTTAAAAAAAAATTGTCTTTTAACAACGCATACACGTAGAGATGAGCACGACTTAAATTTGATAGGTTTCAATCCCAAACTAATTCTATTGGGTTATTTTTTTTAAAAAAAAAAATCAGATTTGAGTCGGGTCGAAAATTTTAAAAGATTTGAGTCGGGTCCCGAAAATTCAACCCATACTCATACCTACTCTTACAAGACACAACTATTTAAACCCAAATTCTAATAATAATCCTGCTACACTAAAATCAATAAATAAATTTATCTCTTTTTATTTTTTTATTATATTTCTAACAGGAAAAAAATTATCAACTCATGTTCATTTGGTCATAGAATGCATGGCCCTTTCTAAAAGTAGGTTGAGCATGCAAAACTTGCAATGACTCATGAGATTTGTCATTTTACATTCCATTAATAAAATATATTATTAAAATAGGGGTTGTATTCTTAAATGTGGCATTTCTTTTTAAGATAATAATATTACTTTTTTTAAAAAAAAATAATATTATTTTTCAAAAAGTATAAAAGCAAAACTTGATTCCAAATGCATCCTTATTGTATAATTTGTGAATGTCAACTGACTATTATTGTTGAGATTAGGTTTCCCATTGCTATTGGGGTTTTGTTGGATAAGTAGGGAAAGGATTTAGAAAGATAAGATAGGGTAAAGTACGTATTTAATACCTAAACTATCAATATTAATCCGTTTTAATATCTTAATTTCAATTTCTTCAAAATCATATCTAACGTTTGGTTTTTGTTTCATTTTATCATCTTTCTGAAATGATGATAATAACAAATAGTAATATTTTCCATAATTAGTCAATAATATTCTTTTAAAAATTTATATAATAAAATTAAGTACACTAATTTAATATTTTTTATCTTAGATTAAAATGATACTATTATAAAATAGTATTCGACTCTAAACCATTTGGTAATAAACACACTCAAACACCTCTATTTATAGAATGTTTTGAAATAATTATATTATAATATAATATCTGTTTAAAAATCCTCGATCTCATGAAGAACAACATTCTATTTAATACTCAAATGTAAGACCACTCGATATAATAATATCATGATACAAGTGGGATAGCTTTCATGCTATACAATATACACTAAATTTCTTTTCCTATGCTCTCAGAACTCAGGTGACAAACTTGTATAAGTAAAGCAAAAGGCCGATTCTAAGATAAACTGACCTGTGTTTTATGAAATGTGCAACATAAGAATCAAGCTTAAAGCACCCTCATCACTCATTCCTCGGGCCGAAACAAAGTATATGTCGAGCTCGTCCCCGTCTTCGGAACCTGCATGAATTAAACTCTATGTAAGGAAGAAGAATTAATGGTGATGCCAACGTGTCATCATAAGATAACGTCACGTCTTGCCGCATCAACAATTCTGTTTATTTTTTAACGACGGGTGACCAAGACGGAACAAAAACATAATGCAAAATGTGATTTTGAAAAATAATAATAACTGGGTGATAAAAACAGAACTGCAGGAATAAGTGAAAGACTAAAAACGTAATTTACCCTATAACTTAATCAGGCGACATAAACTACACAAAAGATAGAACATGTGAGCTATAAACTACAACAGAACCTTAATCTACTAATAATATCATTTTATTCTAGTTCTTCTAAAGGGATAAAACGTTAATGTAAAATTATACCAACCTCAGGATTATGAGATGGTCCGGTGGGAAGAACAGGAACAAGGGATGTCCAAAGCACAGGGTCCACCAAGGAGTCTATGGCATTGTAGTTGGTGAAAAGTGGAGCAGACAAGAAAGGAGTCGAAGGGAACACATTTTTCTGAAGAGACAATCCTCCACTCATCACCATTGTGGCTTCGAGTCTACCGCTCCCGGTATCATGACTTACCGATTTCTCAGCTGCCTTGCCAAGATCCATTTTGTTTATAGTATTTTTGTTCTCATTCTCAGCGACATGTCCTTGTTTTTTCAGTGCTCTTTCTTGAAGGCTCTTGAAATCGGCCGAAAGGGACAATATACTCAAGGCAGAGACAGAGGACCCTTTCCGTTTTGTCCCTTCGAGAGAGGTGCCAAGACAGGGCATCTGGTACGGCTCAGTAGGCTGCACTGCCCATTCTGATGTTTTAAGTTCACCGCCAAAGTCTTCTGGGCATGCATGTTTAGTTTCTTCAGAAGACTTTGCTCCAGCTTCTGCTTGATGAGTTTTGTTGGTTCCCCACCACTTGATATAACCAGTTAAATCAATCTTTCTCTCGACGCAAAAACCACCCATATTGTGGCAGGATCATCACCTACAAAATCAGTTTAAAATGATAGAATTGGACGTTACTAGGGCAAAGAACCGACATATGAGCGATACATATTATACTTGTCTAGATATGGTGCAAACTAGTTTCTTACCATAATGTATACTATTAAAGTATTCCGATCCAGCAACAAGACCAAAATATGAGCCCCACCTGCGACTATGGTAGCCAAAGATTCATATTAAAAATTAAATAATAAAAAAGTGAAAAGGGGGGAAATAACATTAATAACCAATGCATAATATGAAAGATGACATGCTCCCAAATGTTGGAAGTGAACAATATTAAGGGGAACAAAACACAAATGTTTTTTTTCCCTTCAGACTTCTTTCAGCTATAAGGGATGTTTCTTCCGACTAGCAACTGAATGGTAGAAAATGCACGTCTGCAGTATGAAAATGGATAGATATGATAAAATTGTACCTTGAAAGACCACGATATTTAGAAATTCCTCTTGAGAAACCACTGCTCTTTCTGTAAAGAGAGGCGTTATAAGTAAACAGTTCTAAACAGGAATACAGACTTCTAAAGTTCACACACACCTTCGAAGAGATGCAAGGTAGTCTTCCCTTGAAACATTCTCCATCTCTTCAAGATCCCTAGTATAGTCGGTAACCTGCACATAAATTCCCTTCCTTTAGAACATTCGATTTCAGGTAGATGAGGATTAAAGAACAAAGGTGATGAATTAAAATATATTCTTTTGTGCCAACCCAGCTCTCTCGAAAACACTCACCTTCCTCAAAAAGTACGAGAGCTCACCCAAACAAAACCGAATAAAGAAGAATAAATGGAAAATGGTATCAATTTCATGTCCCCTAAAAGGTGAAACAAAAGTTTCAAATGCCATATTTGAATATCAACACTAGGAGTAAGAAGTAAGAACTGAAAGGCAAACTCATGATTGCTAGGCAGAAGTTAAAATCTTATGAAAAGAAAACGTCTTTTGACCTGTTTTCCAAAATATATATTTATATAATGCAAGAAAAAAATATATAAGTTTATAAAAAATATCATTTTATAAAATTTTTAAGTCTAAAAACCTTTTTTCATATAAAAATGATTTCTGAAAAAATATTATAAACAATATGACAAGAGTACTTTTTTTCACTAACAAATTAGTTGATGGGGAAATGTACTAGATATAATTCAAGTTTGAATACATGATCGTGAATTCTACCCTTTAGTGTCAAATTAACAAGTAGTACGACTTCAGCACGGTATTATAATTACACATTAACAGAATTATTTTCAATTAGTAGGAAAAAAACATGATGAGCGTCCCAGGACCTAAGATTCAAAGCATCTACTTTTAGTGCTGTGACCATCTTACAGGAAAATTTATAAGCGTCCCAGGACCCCAGTATTTCAAAGCAGCAAGGTCATATGCTCTAGCAGCAGCCTCCTCCTCATCATATGTCCCTGAAAATATGTCTCTTAATAAATCGAAAATAATAGAATGAATGGACAAGCATGTTCAATAAAATAAAGACAATGAATCTTCTAACTTACCTAAGTAGACTGACAATAGCCAAATACCGTACCAATCATCAAATGCACCAAATAAGAATATTGTCAGTTGCAATAATTAGGCTTCAAATCTAATACAAGAGAGAGAGGTAGAGAGACAGACCTTGCTTCCCCTTCTTATTCTGGTTTTGATTCCAAGTGCTTTTGTCCCAAAGGTGAGCTTCGTAACGACCAGTCCATCTATGCCTATTATATATCAATGTTGAACCACAAACATCAATCACCCATGAACAGGAACGAACGGTATTAAAATTCTTTAGTAGTTTTAAAAGATTTGCAACTGTAAAAGAGGCATCACCCGAGAGAAAGGTTGCCGGATTAAATGGACCTTCAGAATGGAAGTTTATCTATTTAATATAGATATCAACTTAGCAATCGTCCCTAATAGATAGGATATCAATAGCAAACCACAGAAACCTATGTGATCTAATAATACAAATAGCTTTAAGAAAAGCATTCCTTGTTGTACGCATAATTCGGTTACTTAAGCTTAAACTATTTCTTACAGAATTGTAATCCAATACATGCTCACAACTGCTGAAAAAGAAACATACACGCTAAAAAATTTTGAAATTTGAATTAACATCTCTCCTAGTTCTAGGTCTTTTAGTCACCACGTTGTGTACCTAAGTGAAAATCCGTTGAATTTTTTCTCCCAAACCTCTTCTGCATTACGCTTTTCAAAAAGCTGGAAGAAGACTTAATATGCTATCATTTTGTGCCCTCTCCTAGGCTGCAACATACACGGCCATTCACAGCATCCTGATCAATTAATCAAAGGCAAATTTCCAACTTCATCTCCCTCTGAAGTTTCCTTCTTACCTGTCTCAAGCACCAATTATCAAACACATCAATCGGTGCCCACTGAAGTTTCACCCCCAATTTTCCTGTACTCACAACAATGATAAACTTTACAAATCAACACGTTCTCACAATTTAGTTCCTTTTACAGTCTAAAAGTCTAAAAGCTACTGTTTTTATCAATTTAACAGCTAACTTTAGTGATAACTTCCAGCAACAATTACAAATGCCCAAAGCTAAAACCAGCTGATTGAATCCATATCAAATCCATCAAGAACCATTTGAAACTGTCACCTTTCTCCCATCAATTAATCTAATAAACTAAACATGAAATTAAAAAAAAATCAGATTTCCACCAGATTCATACATCAACTTTACAAAAACTATAAATCCATGCTCATGGTCTTTCTTTTTAAATAATAAAGTAGATATTTCAAGTAAAACCGAAACTTTTAAAATAAGTAAATAAATTTCAGTAATTAATTTGATTTCCTTTTTTTTTTTACCTGGTGACTCCTCGGTAAATGGAACTGCGTTTGCCGGCGGTGCAAGGCGGCATCTTACTGATACGTTCTTTAGCGGTGCATCCCCTCTCTTTCTTCGCTTTCTTCAACCCTCTGCACAGTAGAAGCTGATCGTTTGCTATCACGGTCTCCGAATTCTCTCCGCCACTGGCCTTCGCTTTCATCCCGGGATCCGAAGACGAAGTCGAATCCATGCCTAACTAACAAAATCAAAACCCCTACCCTAAGCGAAAGAATTGCAATAAACCAAAGAGGAAAAAATAAGGAAGCTCAGAGTGTGCGTGTGGGGGGGGAGTTGGTTTTTGAGGAGTTGGTTTTCACTGTGAGTAAAGCATGAAATTATGGAAATACCCTCAATGGTTCTTGCTATTTACTTGGGGTTGGGAGATTTAAAAACCGCCGTAACGGCTAGGATAGATAGATGGGTAGTTGTGTAATTTTGGATATTTTTAAGATCTCTGTGCTTTGTCACGTGGCAGAAGCATGGGAGCCCCACGTCATGTGTGTTGCATGTTTGATGTTTCCATTGTCGTTATAATTGATTCCCAAACAAAGACAAAGAACACCAACGATGTTTATACATGGCTCAATATAAAAGGGTAAATTAGAATTTGGGTTGCTGAACTTTACTCTCTCTCCTATTTCGCTCGTCCTATTTTAAATATTTTTAATTTTCTCACCAAACTTAATCTATTAGGTTTTTTCAGTCACTCGGCCGTTAAATAGTTAACGGCATTAAAATGAGCTGTTATACAGTGCAAAACGATGTTATTTTGGTGAAAATTTTATTTTTTTTAGACTGCGGAGTGACCAAAATAGGGGAGAGTCAATACAGTGAGAAAATTGAAAACTTTTAAAGTTCAGTGAGCACAATAGGAGAGAGTAAAGTTCAATAATGAATTTTATAGTTTATCCTAATATAAAAATAAGCGTCTAAACTATACTCAAAATTGACTTTTTATCTTTAAAAAAGTGTCCGTTAAAAATAGGTGTCTAATGTTTTCTCCGTTACACTTTTAAGTGTCTACCGTTAAAATAAATTGTTAAGTGACACGTGTTACGTTCAGATTTTTTAAAAATAATTTTAAATAATATTTTATATTTTTTAGAAAAATTAAAAAATATATTTAAATTTGTAGTATGTAATAATGGTGAAAGAAGGAATAGAGCAAAAACAAGAGATTGAGGAGAACAAGTAGTGAAATTTGAAATTGGAAGATGCAATATTCATTTCAATGGAATTGGTGAACTTATCCACCTAAAACCCTATCCCCATCAAACTTTAAAATGTATTTGCGCGCAAAATTGAGACCCCGTTAAAAACAAAATTAGAGGTTATTTTATTAAAATGCTTAATACAAAAATAAGTGTCTAAAATTTATCTCGAAAAATGATTTGTTGTCTAAAGAATTTTTTACTAAAAATTAGTGCTTAAAGTTTTCTTAACTACACTTTTAGGTGGTCACTGTTATTTTTTTATTTTTAATAATAAAAATATTATTTTTAATAAAAATGAAAATTAAATTAAATTAGATGACCTTATTCTCATATGTAATGGGGTAAGGGGGAGGTAGAGTAGTAGGTTGCCCCCAACGCCAGGTTGAGAACAGCTTCCGTGAAAGACCTCCGTTATGAGTTGCCCTCAGTGGGACTCGATCCCATGACCACAAGGTTAAGAGCCTTGTGCTCTACCAACTGAGCTAGACGGAGCAACGACGAGGATGGGTTTTGAGCGGAATTGGACGGTGGTCCTAATGGTGGTTACGGCGTGGCATATGGACGTTGAGATCAACCGGAATCAAAGAAAAATAATGACGGTGGCTTAAAATTCAACGAGCCTTCGAACGCTTCTCCACAGCAAAGATGGCAACTTATGGGGAAAGGACAAATGGAGTTTGATCGGGAGTCGACGTCACTCCTAACGACGGTGACAAGATGATCATGGAAGGGGGAAAGGGGAAGGGAGATCCGGAGAAAGGGTGGGGAAGAAAAAGTGGGGGTTGTGCATGCGGGATGTGGTTTTTTTTAATAAAAAATATTTTTTTTTAATTTTTTAAAATAAGTTCTCAAAATTATCAGGGCTCGACATGTGTTACTTAACGGTCGTTACGGTCCATGCACCTAAAAGTGCTCCGATAAAAACGTTAGACACCTAATTTTAACGAACAAAAATTTAGGCACTAAAACATTTTTAAGACAAAATTCAAACACTTATTTTTATATTAAGCCTTATTAAAATGATCACTTTTAATAATTAGTCTTTTAAAAATTATAAAGTAATTAAATTCTTTAAACGATTATAAAATATCATCACAAATGTAATGTAGGGTAAAGTATCTTTATTAAGTATTCGACTATTAAAAACTACAAAATGATCTTATGATAATAGAATGTTATTTTGTTGAGTCATTCGATTATTAAAAATTATAAAATGATCAACTAATTATTTATTATATTCCAAACTCGTCATTTTTTGTTAAAAAAATTGACAACATTCTAACGTGAACGTTAACTTGCTGATTGTTATATGATAAAATATGATCCCATAATCTTAAAAGACTATCATATCACAATCATCATGTTAACATTCGACTTAGACAACTATCAATTTTTTAACAGAAAAAGACATGTTTGGAACATAATGAATACTCGGGTGACTATTTTGTAACTTTCAATAATCAAGGGACTCGACAAAACAACATTCTATAATCGAATGACTATTTTATAACTTTTACTAGTCGAGAAACTTAATAAAATAATACCATATAATCAGGGGACCATTTGCGTATTTTACACTATAATGTAATATATTTGAAAAGCTTTGAATTATGGGCAAAATTGGCCCAATAAGCTAAGCGAATAAAAAAATTAACCCATTAAACCAACCCGGATTTTAATTTGTAATATACGGCAAATGCTAGCCGTGACAAGTTGGTCCAACTAATATTTTTTATTCAAACTCATCACGTCGACGTGATGAGTTCAAAAAAATATATTTTTTATTAGAATTTATCACGTCATAATAAAAAGTTCCAATAAAAAATATATTTTATTAAAACTCATCATGCAGATGCGACGAGTTCCAATTAATTCCCAAAATAAAATGTCTGGTGCTATGTCGGGCTAAATAATTAGCCCACCTACGATATTGGGCCAATTTTGCCTTGAATTATGTCTACATCCATTTGGATATGGGTCTTAAAAGACTCATTGTGATTGGTATGTAACAGATAAAATAAAACTAGAACATAAAATTAGCTGATCCTATTCTCATATGTAATGGGGGTAAAGGGATGAAGAGTAGTAGGCTGCCCACAACGCCAGATTGAGAGCAGCTTCCGTGAAAGACCTCCGTTATTAATTGCCTTCAATGAGACTCGATCCCACGACCACAAGGTTAAGAGTCTTGAGCTCTACCAACTGAGCTAGACGGGTATCTAACAAAATAATTCAAAACTTAAAGGGTAAATTGCATGTTTAGTACCTAAACTAACAATTTTAATCTATTTTAATACCTAAAATTTCAAAAAAAAAATTAAAATCATACCTAAAGTTTAGTCTTTTGTTTCATTTTAGTACCCATGTTTAAAATTTAACGTTAAATTTTGAGGGGAAAATATATTAAAAATTTAGGTACTAAAACGGACCAAAATTGATAGTTTAAGTACTAAACACGTTAAGTTTTTAACGGTGGGATACTAAAATGAAACAAAAACTAAACTTTAGACATTACTTTGAAAAAACTGAAAGTCTAGATACTAAAACGGACAAAAATTAATAGTTTAGGTACTAAATACGTAGTTTACCCAAACTTAAATGCAAAACATGACAAGATGGAAACAAAAATTCCAATTATGCTCAATATCCATTGATTATACCTTAAAATTCAACTACACAGGATACAAACAACCATCAAATTTTCACCAAGAACATTTGCAGCATCTCATCTACCAACAATCATTTCATTCTAAGAACATCTAAACTACTGAGATAAGCCTATCTAGACTTTAATGAGATCAGACTTAGACTACATCTAAACCCTAAATACAAAAATTAACAATAATTAGCGGTAGATATTTACACGACTCCAATCTACAAATACTATTCTTAGAATCAAATTGTTGTAAAAACAGACTAAAGTAATGCTTCACAAGCGCGGAAGAATTTCAGATTACCTAGTCTTTCTTGTATTTTATCTGCATATTCAGCCCCACACCCTTTCTGTGAAAAGGAGACGATATCAACAAACATCCCTCTCGAAGGTTGAATTCCGGCATCCTCCATCCACTGAAGAACCTGCATAGAGATTTTCCGAGGAGGTTTGAATCATATAATGTAGCATAATGCTATTGCTGCAAAAGTAAGAAGTTTTAGGACTTGGGTCGCCTAAATCAAAGGCCATTCAGATTATAACATGTAGCCATCATGCCAGAATTTCAAATTAGAAAAATAGATGAATCCATATCATTTACACCATATATCTAAGATAATCTATGGTGTAGGTTAAAGGTTGATACGAAATGGTTAAGAGCTAATACAGAAGTATAACCTCAATATATTTCCGCCAATTTCCAGCCGCCAATAGATTTTTCAGCAAGATTGAGTATGTACTAAAGTTGACTGGAACACCTGACGATATTATCTTGTAAAACAGCTGCATGTGTCCAATTAAAAAAATGGAAGGCAATTAGGATGTGCAAGATAAGAATAATCAACCTCCGCACCGATCATTAACCTTAGTGATAGAACTTGAAAGCTTTCAAGTCCTTCAGAGAGGGACCAGAAACATAAACTTTTATTACATATATAAATATTAAGGAAATCACGTACCTTCATCATAGATTCAATTTTTCCACTCCTCCCAAGCAGATGAAGAAGTTGATGCAAAAGCCCAATGGAAACCGAAGGGAACCAAGGCTCCATTAGTTTGATCAGGTCAAGTGTGGTCTTCCAATCTTGTAAACTTGATTCAAACTCCCAATGTTAGTTTCTAGTTAGCAGATAAAGCAGACTGATTTTCATGTAAAAGAGGGGAAAATCTATTTATCTGAAAGCTTCATCGCAAGTGAGATTAGACATTTGAAGGAAAAACAACACACTTAGATGATGCAGGATAATCCATTATTATATTTAGACATGGAACAAAAAAGGCGACATCAATAGATATAGGATTACATATTACGCTATTGCTTTGATATTGTACAGGTAAAATGACATCCGATTTGACTCCAGCAAAAACTAGTCATTTCTTCCATCTATTTCCCCCCTTTTAAATGCAAAAGGGATAAAATTGGGTGTCAATATAAGTGTAGCTACATGGATTCATTATCCTCAAATTCTGGAACTTCTTCAATAGTTAATTTTCCTCTGCTATAAGGGTAAAAATAGAAAGATTTGCATCAGCTGCAAGCAAGCACACCAGGAGGGGAGAAAAAACAACCCTAAAGAATATTGTTTGAAAAAGGGGCAAAAATTTAATGAAACCTGTTTCATTCAGAAAATATAGACATGAAACTTACATGCTACAAGCTGATACCATTTCAAATAAAACAGCATCGTTTAAAGGAATTGTTTTCTCTGTCATATACTCTCCTAAAACAAGAACCTTGGTCGGTTGTCCTCCTTTGTTAAAAGCTCGCATTAAAGCTGAACATGATATAGAATCTGGTTGGATATTATTTTCTTCCATCTCAGGAAAAAGTGCAGAAGCCTTTGCCCAATTTTCTGAAACATTACATAGCACCAAGTTTTAGTTGTCAAAGAAGTTCTTTCCAACTAAAGAAGGGATACTTACGAACAAATTGAACATATTATCATGAGAAATAACAAATTTTGATGCAGCTATAAATAAATCTCCAAGTAAAAGTAAACAAAGTTCTTTAGATGAAGTTACCGATAAATTTTTTTTTTGATAGAAATGGGATGCCTCATTAAAAACCCCCTTCATAACCATCAAGCTACAAGGATAACTTGACGGACATTGGAAGGAGGAAAAGGGTACCTCAAAATTTTATTCCTGAAATACCAAGTACATCAATAGTTCATTACAACCATACACAACCATCTTCTTATCAAAAAAAAAAAACATACACAACCAAAAGATTTCATCAAAAAAGAACCCACAATAATCTGCCAACTTAAGAAAAGCTAGCTAACAAAGTACCATGGAAAAAGTACCATGGAATCAATCAAAAGACTTCCATGGTATAGAATTGAAAAGGGTTTAAGAAAATATCAGATAAGATAATAAAAGTTACATTGGAAAGAACTCTCTCATTTAATCTCCACATTTGCAGTTTCCTAGTAGTAAACTTAAGAAGTGTATTGTGCAACTAACCTGCAGCATTGTAAGCATGAAGCATTGCAGTATATGCAACAACATCGGGACTACAACCAGCAACCTTCATCATGTTGAACATTGATTCAGCTTCAGCAACTTGGCCCTGAAATGTGTATTCAAAGAAGAAAATAAATAAGAAAACATGTCCCCCATGTTGTATACGAACAACTAAAAAATAACACCGTGCTGAAGCACCTGCCTGTTTACTATGGACACAAATAAGAGAAGAGTAGACCTCCTTGGTTAAGGGAATTTTCAAACCAACCATGTCATCAAGAAACCCAAGTGCCTCACTATATTTGGACTGTTTACAGCAACCACTTATCAATACTGTATAAGTAACAGAATCTGCTATGACTTTCCTTTTCCTCATGGATTTGTACAAAGCTAAAGCCTTCTCAAACTCTCCGACATTCATATAACTTCCAATTGCTGAATTGTAGGCAACTGTATTCAGTTTGATACCTCGGAACTCTGCTGCTGACAGCACAGTATCAATATTAACTTTTTGCCCACAGCGTCCACAGGAAGCTAAAAGGGTACAAATTGAGACAATGTTTGGCTCAATCCCATCTTGCTCCATTTGACGCAAGACTTCCACAGCCTCAGCTAATAAACCATTGGATCCATAGGCATCAATCAATGCATTATAACTTACAAGATTAGGTTTGCAATTCCCTCTCTTCATCATATCAAAGACTTCCCTAGCCTTTTCAGGTAATTGTGATCTTCCATAAGCATTAAGTAAAGAAGTATAAGAAACAACATCTGGACAGAAACCATTTTGTTTTATCCGGTCAAAAACAGCAACTGCTTCTCTACTCATTCCATGTGAAGCATATGCAGCCATTAGTGTGTTATATGAAACAATATTGGGTCTTATACCTTCTGCAAGCATTGTATTGAACACAGCCTTACAATTTTCAATCTGTCCACTAACAGAGTACAGGTGAATGATGCTGGTGAATGTAACAATGTCTGGGCGGCAATCTGCTCTTTCCTCTCTCATGGAATTAAAGATATCAATAGCCTTTTCATATTGTCCAAGCTTCACCAGGCAATTTATCACAATATTGAGGGTAGTTGTGTCAGGGCGAATATGTGTCCCTTTCATCAGTTCAAAATAAGACAAAGCTTTTGAATACTGGGGCCCCACTCTTATATGCAGACAATACAATGTTGTGTGTCACCAGATCTGGCCCAACTCCATTTTCTGTCATTTTCTTGCAAACCTTCAGCGCCTCTCTCCAGTTTCCACTAGATCCACAAGCATTTATCAAGTTGTTATAAGTTGATCGACTTGGAGGGATCTGCACATATACAGTAGGGTCAAAAACATCCCTGGTTAAAAGATGTAAAATTTCTGAAGAAGTGAAGTGTAAAAGACAAACACCCATTATGGCCTATAAACTTTGACCACGTAATCTTGTTCGAAGGGGAAACCCTGACAGAACTCTTAAATGGACCATGCAGTATTGCAAACATTTTCCATGCACTATGATTTCAATGTGAAAAGAACAATAAAAAATCTCAAATCAAGTTATTCCCACTAAGATTCATTAGGGAAGAAAAATACAAATACACACAGCTGCACTAAGCATGTCTTCCATGATATTCATAGCCCAACGCCATTGACCGGCTTGACCATGTGCATGGATAAGAGCATTGTATGTCTCAACATCAGGTTTGCACCTACAGCAAAGATATTACGGGACTATTATATAACACAAATTTAAATAAGATCGTTGAATTGAAAACCATAAGATGCTTCAAAAAATAATATGCACAATTTTCGAGGATATTAGAAGCTTATTGCTTGGAAAATTATAATCTCCAAAGTTAACAATATATGCAAATATCATGTTGTTGTTAGCCCTACAAGTCAATCTATCACTTGCTTTACTACAATATTTAAGTCATTTCATGTAAGTCAATTATAAATTTCTTTAGATAATTGTGATATTATTGTATAGACAGGTGTTCTATTATAAAAATTTTAACAACTCACGTAGTTAAGTACATGAGACACAAACAGCTCGCAAAGGAATTGCATTGTGTCACAATCGTTGAGTTGATATAAATTAAATCCATGTTTATAAAAACATTCCTCATCACTGTATAGTCAAGAGAATACATTTACAATGCTCAAAGACTAGGATAAATGTATGCAACCGGTTCCATAAGTTGGCACATGGAGATATTTAAAGATAACATAAGGGTGCTTGGAATGTTGACAAGTTCACTGAACATGACTCGCTATGACAGTTCCTCTTGGTATTTCACTCAAGAGTATATAGAAATACTAGTGTCAATAGTGCAACTAATACTTTGACTTTAACACAAACGGTTCCAAGAAGGGATGCCAAAGGTAGAGTGATTTTGTATATGACACGACTCATAAGAAAATGGATGAGTGATCCGGAGAGAATTCATTCCCCAAAGTGATGTAATTTGGAAATCACACACTATATTCTATACAAGATCAAACAAAAAGATGGCGTTACCTCCACTTTTGCATTTCAAAGAACAAACCCCTTGCTTGATCTGTCCGTTTATGTCTAGCATGTAATCTGATCATCATATTGTAGATATCAGTTCGTGCACAGTAGTTCTTCTGATTCTTCATCCACTCAAATACTTTTATACTATGTTCAATTGCACCCCTTTGAGTCAATTCCTGCCAAAACACCATCAAAATCACTCAACAAATACAATTTCAACCGTTAATTTCTAAGTATCCTTAGGCTCCGAGGTTTGTGCTTTTGTATCTGTCTGTTTTTTTATTAAAAATGAGTAAATAAAGAATGCAACAAATTCAAACATATTTTATTTCCTATCAATTAAAAGGGGGAAAAATATTTTTCCGTTGTTTAACGATTTTAATTATTTTAAAGTTGACTTGTTAAAATTTCTAAACTTCTATTAGAAATAGCAAAAGTAACTTCTGGTTTTCTGTGTTTATAACTTAATAAAGTAGAAGAGGGTTTCAAATTGCGGCCGGATAGCAGAATAGCGGCCACTACATTTATTGTGTAAAATTGCAGTGTGAAGTTGGATCACACCAATAACGGTGGGTCGCAGCCGCAAATTAACATTAGCGGCCAATTGCAGCAATCCCACTATTGTTCTGCTATTCTAATTTAAAAAAAAGAGAGAGATTAGCTCCTTTCTCTAATACAACAACTCCTTTTAAATAAATTTACTCATTATAACTACAACCGTGATAAATACAATCGAAAATGCGACCACAACCGCAATTTTAATCCCCGAGTAGAAGTACCTTGATGAGGAAAGGGAAATTCTTCCTCGCAAAACGACCAACCCAGCGATTCAGTACCGGTTCGACATTTTCCCAATGATTGAGCTCCAGAACCCGGTCGACCACCTCGGATATGGTCCAGTCCTTCTGGAAGCGGTTGCCTTCTACACGCAAACGGTAGCGTTTAGGTATATCGGCCTTCCCGAGTCCACTCAAGCGAGTGGAAACCTCATGGTGGCCGCCGTCGTAGTCGACGAAGGTGGATCTGTGCTCCTCGAAAGCGGTGTCGTTTTCGCGTTTCTTGCATAGTGTAAGGGATCTGTGGGTAGAGGAGTGAGCGGAAGCGGGTGAGTTGAGTGGGAATTTGATAGCGAGTGGATGGGATAGAGTGGTCATTTCAGATGAGAGTGGAGAGAGAGAAGGTTGGAAGTTGATAACATTACTTGGAAGCTCAATTTTGTTAGATAAAATGATACGCGAAATGCTTATACTTTTAAAAAGAATCGATTTAGTCCTTGTACTATTTTCTCTTTTACTCTGATTTTCTAATTCAAAAAAAAAAAAACTCAATTTGGTTTAGGTTGGAATTTGATAACATTTTCCGTTATTAACCAACCTTAGTATAAATCCTTCGTCGTTTTTATGCTATAAGTTAACCATAAGTTTCTGGTAAAGTTATCTCCATGATTATTTTCCTTCGTCATTAGTATGAATGATCGTATTAATTTTTATTCGTTTTAGTAATTAAACTTTTAATTTCTTCAAAATCATACTTAAAGTTCAATTTTTATTTTATTTTAGTATAGAGTACACTTAAGGTTTAGGGAGGGTATAGCTCACTCTACTGTAATTACTAGTGCTGGAACCTATGACCTCTAGAAACAACAACGATTCCTTTAATCACTGAGGTAAATTAATTCATGTGAAATATTATATATTTATATATTCATATGTAATATTGCAATGATTGATGACATATAATCTATTTTATTTACTCAAGTTGTTGTCTACTTATATTGTAATATTTATAATCACCTAATGAAGTATAATAGAGTATGTGTATCACTAAATTTTATAGAACTTGATGTTCGATTTATTTACGTGCACGAATTGATAGGTTGTTGATGATCGAGTCAGAGCAATAACATCGATAAGAAGTCCTAACAATTTTTATATTTATGATTTTAACTTGATTTTTTTTAAGATTATAAAGAGTATGAGAAAATAACCTCAGTAACCGAAAATACCTTGTAATATACGATTTTGATCAACTTTTTTTGGATTTGCCAAAATGACCAAATAAATCGCAATGCGATCGATAATTCGCAACGCGATAGTCGAAGTTCGCATTGCGATTTATTCCAAATTCGTTGCGATAGGCGAAGTTCACGTTGCGATTCATTCCAAACCGTTGCGATAGTCGAAGTTCGCGTTGCGATTCATTCCAAATCGTTGCGATTCGCGTTGCGATTCATTCCAATTCGTTGCGATAGGCGAAGTTCGCGTTGCGATTCATTCCAAATTCGTTGCGATAGGCGAAGTTCGCGTTGCGATTCATTCCAAATTCGTTGTGATAGGCGAAGTTCGCGTTGCGATTCATTCCAAATTCATTGCGATAGTCCAAATATTGCATTTGTTTCTTAAGAATTTTATCTAAAAAGATATAATTCGCGCGGACGTGTCGAAGACACGTATTACCACGACCACGAGACGGGACGGCGGCGGCTGCGGCACGCGAGAGTCCCCCTTGTTCTCTATCACTCAACAAGGAAGTGGGAAAGCCAAGCCTTAAATATCATTCCCAATAGTGTTTCCAATACTATGTGGGATTGAGCATTACCAACACTTGTTTCCAATACCATTACCTTCATTGTCTGTAAGAGTTTAATTTTGAAACTAAAAAAATATTTATTCGAATAAATAACTTACCCTTTGAGGACTTTGATGGAAGAAAAATATTAACCAAACAAATGCAAAGGAGACAATGATGAAAGTTTTCAACTGAGGATGCTACGAAAACTAGCTGATAATGACACAAAGGAAACATATCGAGTTGTTTGGTCATCATATACTCTTTGCAAGTAAGTCATTTGAACACTATAAGAACCCGAATCAGAGTTAGTTTTAGCAATTACTTCATTTATCATCAAAGTCCTCAAAGGGTAAGTTATTTATTCGAATAAATATTTTTTTTAGTTTCAAAATTAAGCTCTTACAACAATGAATGTAATGGTATTGGAAACAAGTGTTGGTAATGCTCAATCCCACATAGTATTGAAAACACTATTGGGAATGGTATTTAAGGCTTGGCTTTCCCACTTCCTTGTTGAGTGATAGAGAACAAGGGGGACTCTCGCGCGCCGCCGCCGTCCCGTCCCGTCCCGGGTCGTGTCGTGGTCGTGGTCGTGGTAATACGTGTCTTTGACACGTCCGCGCGAATTCTATCTTTTTAGAGAAAAATCTTAAGAAACAAATGCAATATTTGGAATGAATCGCAACGCGAACTTCGCCTATCGCGTTGCGAATCTGTAAACTGATTTGCGATACCGGAGATCGCGTTGCGAATTATCGATCGCATTGCGATTTACTTGGTCATTTTGGCAAATCTAAAAAAAGTTGATCAAAATCGTATATTACAAGGCATTTTCGGTCACTGAGGTTATTTTCTCGAAAAACAAAATATCATTTGTGGGTCACTCTAATGAGCCTAATGTGACATTCACATATTTGTTTGGTGTTATAGTCGAATTCAAGGGTAACATTCTAAAAAAAACATAATTTTTTTAGGTAGATGTAATTTAAAATGTTACATTATTCAAAATATTTTTTTTTACAATCTAAAATGTTACATTCTTCAAAACATTTAAGTTGCAACAAAAAATGTTAGGAAGAATATAACATTTTAAATTGCGATTAACCTAAAATATTATGATTTTTATAATATTTTTATATATGTTTTGAGTAAATTACCATTTGGTATCTAAATTATCAAATTTGATTCATTTTAGTACCTAAACTTTCAATTTTTTTCAAATCATACCTAACGTTTATTTTTTGTTTCATTTTAGCACCTCATTGCTAAAACTTAACTTATGGGTAAATTATATCATTCATCCCTCAACTATCTTCTCACTCATATTTTGGTACTAAAGTTTAAATTGTTGTAATTTAACTACTCAATTTTCAAATTACTCATACTTTAATGACTCTAATTTATTTTATTAATAATTTGTGACATGATTTTTTCATTCTTATTTTATTAATATATAACTACAAATAAAAATAATATTTAAAAGTTAGGGTGATTAAATTTGGAGTATTTTCAAAGTTAAGTAATTAAATTAAAAAATTTGAACTTCAGTAACTAAAATAGGAGTGAAAAGATAGTTAAATAATAAATTATGTAATTTACACAAAATAAGGTGTCACATACAAATCACCCGTTAAGTTTTTAATGACAACGTACTGAAACAAAACCTAAAGATATAGTTTTAAAAAAATTTGAAAGTTTATATACTAAAACGAATTAAACCTAAAAGTTTAGATACTAAATACAAAATTTACCCTACCATTTTAGACTTTTGCGTATATAAATCATGCATGGTATGTGTAAAAGAATCCAATAGTGTTTGATTTTCTTGAGAACAGTTATTCAAGAATAAAAAACATCCAATAAAACAGTTAAATGACATCCCTCCTTCAAAATCCATGTAAATAAATAAATTACATATTTAATACCTAAATTATCAATTTTAATCCATTTTAGTATTTAAACTTTCAAATTTTTTAAAACTATACTCAACGTTTGTTTTCATTTCATTTTAATACCCGTCATTAAAAACTTTAACACATTTAATACCCGAGCTATCAATTTTGATCCATTTTAGTACCTAAATTTTTAATTTTTTCAAAACTTAATGTTAAATTTTGAACGAGTGTATTAAAACAGATCAAAATTGATAGTTTATGTACTAAACACGTAATTTATCCAAAAAAATAAAGGTGGTTATGAAAACATAAAACAATATTCTCAATCCCAAACCATGGATGAAATATATTCATACAAATGCAAATCATATACACCAACCTTCTTTACCAAACTGGAAATAAAAATCACAACAAATATGAGATACATGACAACCAAATGAAAGAATGTCGACCTGCCAAGTCAACTCTCCTTAACTACTACCATGTGATCATTACAAGAGCCAGTGACGCCAGGAGGAGGGGTGGAAGCTACAAAAATCACTCTTTCAACCAACGTCGCTACCGGATACTAACCACGACTATATCAAAAAAGGCAAACGAGATAACGCAATCCAAGCATCGTATACTAACGAACCCACAGTTTTCGAGAAGTGAATATCGGATTCGATGAAGCATTGCTAGTTGGAATGTAAATGAAGGGCATGGTATGCATTCATTCTCTAGAATAAATCGACCTTCTTTTTAAGCATGTCTTGCTTCCACTTTGGCAATTTATAAAATGCTGCTTTCTCCATCCCAAATACCGTCTTGAACTCCTCATCTGACAAATAAGCCTGAAAAATCAAAGAGTGGGAATGTTATTATATTTGGAAGAAGTTAGAGTGAACTTAAAAACGTCAACGGCGGGACAAACCTCTCTCCGTTTGAAATCAATTCCAGTTACAGGATTTTCAGATTTGGCCTTCAGTTGATCATAACTGAAAGTACTTTGGGGTGCTTCCACTCCGTTCTCATTCTGCTCACTCTCTTTCTTTGGTTCTGAATCCTCCCCATTGGTTTCGGATACCACACCAGTCTCGTTCGCTTCGGGAACCTCTATTTCAGAAGGGTCGACTTCACTCTTTGCTTCAGCTGTTCAATCCGAATGCATTAGATAACATTTCAGAATTATATGAAAAGATGGATCAAATTTACTTATCAGTAGCTGCAAGAAGATTTAGCAACTTCTTTTGAATCAGCCGAAAACAACGGTTCATGTCTTTAGATGACGATGTCCAAAGAGTAGAAGGGGGTTCTTACGAGGTGGGCTGGTTACTGCAGGAGTACTGCTAGTGGATTTTGCAGGGGATGCATCAGGTGACTGTTTCTTCTTTTCAGCAGTAAGAACCGAAGAAAGAGCCGCTACAGCTGCCGCTCTTTGTGATCCCTGACTAGTGCTGGAAGGTTTAGGTGTAGAGATTTTGGTAGCAGATGATGGATTAAATGCAGATGATAAGGCAGCTAAAGCTGAAGCTCTTTGTGTAGATCCTCCTTGATTTCCGTTGGTTCGATCCTGTGCCTGCCATAACGGCACATATCAAATGCTTGACACGTAAGCAACGTAAGCGAGTGTCTCAAATTCTCATAACACAGACACAGAACTTCACGTATGATCGAGAATATGAAAAGCAACAACACATTATGACGTGTATAGACAGAAATGGAAACTAAAGCAA